TGTTCCTGATCCTGATATTTCAACTGCGTGTATTCAATCTAGAAAGCCTAACAAAAACATTGCCGGTGACATACGCTAGCAGTCGACTACCTTTTCCTTTTAGCTTTTACACTTGTTAGCTCCTCCTGTATCTAACTTTGTTCTTGTCCCATCCGGCCATGTGTACTGTATGAGGCAATTCTGTAAATGCTGCTGTCAGTAGCATTGCAGAATATCGACTATCTGATTTTCATTATCCGATGAAATAAAAAACGAGACCGTGGAGGAGTGCATTTTTCGGGCAACATTGCAATTACGGTATGCATTTCGGGTTCGAAAGGCAGTGAATCCAACCGAATTCGTTCTTACTAGTATATGCATGATTCCAATTATTTGGTTGGTGAAAAGTAATGCTATTATCGAAAAGTATTTGAATTTTCGAGGTGATGGGAAAGAATGTATTTTGTACTTGGAAATGGACAACAACGATTTATCAGTATGGTTTCCTAACTTCCTCCGGAGGCAGCCCTCCGAAATTCCTGCAGCCCCCGCTTCGCCGCGCAGGCGTCCGCCTCCCGCTTGCGCGACTAGGCCGACACTGCGCGCGTCCTTGGCGCCTCGCAGAGAAGCAGGAACTGACGCATTGCCGTACTCTGTTTTCTAGGCCGATGTCAGACTTTGCGAATCGCGCGATTCGCTAGCGTCTGCGGTCGCGTCGCGGCCAGTGAATCACTCAATTGGCTGGTACCGCAACGCGACCGCGGACGCTAGCGAATCGCGCGATTCGCAAAGTCTGACATCGGCCTATGACGACCACATTCTCGTCGTGGCTCTCGTCGTGGAGGGCGCAGAGAAAACGACGAAAACAAATCGACCGCGAACGCGCCCACGGTGGGAGCTAGGAAACCCTCCTGAAAATTAGTTTCTGTGGAAACTGGTCGGTGCAGGCCCAATCACATGCAAATTCAAGTTCTATTCACGAGTTCAATATTTTACCCAGCTGCAACTGCTCACGTGGCTACTGATACATCGAGCGGAGGGCGGAGGAGGAAGGGGGGGGGGGTAGTGAGCAAGGACGAAATGAAGTAGGGGAGTGGCGTAAGAGTTGATTGTGTATGAACACGAATCTGTCATATTTATCCCATGTTAAAAAATGAAGATAAATCATCACATTTTAAGGGAATCCATTTTACTTCGTTGTGCACGCTGAAAAGAATGGCGCATTCGTGAAGAATATTCAGGTGAGTTTTTGCAAAGCCTTGTTTTAGCTAAGCTGCTATAGACCTACACTGGAGTGTTAGTGATACCATAAAATCGGGCTCACTTATGGTTAGTTGTTATAATAGTTATTCGAAATCATTTGACGTCCAAAACCGCAACGCCCTTAAGACATCGTAACCACTATTTTCAAGCATTTTTATGGCTTAAGAACAAGTTATAAATCACAAAGAGTTGATGAAATCCTTTCTGAAATGCGCCACGCAGACAATCTGTATCCAAAACTAGAAAGTAATGAATATGCACTGATCCAGCCGTGGCTTGCAACTCGTGCCTTAATTTTTCTAGACCTTTACAAACTAGCGAAGTATTAATTAGCTGATCCCAAAAGATGTAAGGTTTGGTTGGCCTGAGCGAGGTACTATACAAAACTTGAATTTTTGGTCATGCAGGTGGGATTGGCGCTGCTCATCTCCGCCCTGTTTTGACTTTGAGTCAGTGAACATCACGGCTGGAGGGCTAAGCGG